GAGGGACCGCCCCCAGCCGCAGGAGTGGCAAGCGAATCCGCTCATCAGGAGGAGGCAGCGGGCGAAGTTGCCGCCGGCGAGAGGCCTCGCCGAGGGCCGTGCCGCCTTGAGCAGCCGCGGCTGGCTGGCCGGCATGTGCACCCCTCGCGATGCGCCCTCGGCTCTGGCGGGAGGGCTGCCGCGTGAGCCGAGATGGCCACGAGCAGCTGTGGTGGTGGTGATGATGCTGACATGGGCGATGACGATGAGGAGGGGGATGCTGTCTGCTATGCTGATGGGGTGATGGCGCATGGGTAACGACGCGCATCACCATGGGCACTGCGACAAAACAGTGCGCAGCACCCCGCAGTTGCGGACGAGAGTAAGGGGGCGGGCGAGTGGTGGGTCGCGGGTGCCTCGCGGGTGGGTCGCGGGGTGGGTCGCGGGATGGGTCGCGGGCGACGACGACAAAAACAACAATCATTTTAAGACTGATCGCTCTTACCCGCTCGCGTGCCACTCACCACGTATAACCCAAACCCTCGATACCCGCTCTCTTCGTCTTCGACCGTACCCCCGAGGAATATATCTTCCTCACCTTCCACGCATATTTAGCGCAGCCCCTAGAACAGGGGAAGACAGGACGGATGGGGGAGGGAGAAGGATGGAGCACGAGAGAGAGAGAGAGAGAGTACCAGGACGCGGGGGCCAGGAGCAGAAGACACGTCGCAGAACCAACTGGGCCGATCGGGCGGGTAGACCTTGCAATAACGGGAGGATCGGAAGGCGGACCAAGGCGGCCAGGTCGAGCAAACGGGTTTCTGAAGCGTGAGTTTCGCATGAATAGCGAACATGTCTCGAGCGATAGCGCGATTTCCAAAAGAATGGTGAGACGCGGACTTTGAACCAATTGCTAGAAAGTCCTACGCGAGAGCGCGACTCCTGTATACATTGTGAAGACGTCCCGCGCGAGAGCGCGATTCGGGAATACATTGTGAGGAAGTATCGGGGAGGAGCCGCTGTTGTTGTGAACCAAGGGCAAACAACACAATTCTGAGACCCAACACTTTCCCTAATAAAAAACAAAGTGCGAGCCCAGGGAAGGGCACTTCAATTGAAAAACACAATGTGCCCTGGATGTGGGGGGATCAACAAGAAGTGTTCTTCCGTAGTGAGTTCAACATCAACGCAAAAACAACAAAAGCAACAACACCAACAACACCAACAACAGCAGCAACTGCAACAACAACAACAATCATGTTAACATTGACCGCTCTTACCAGCTCGCCTGCCGTTCAACACGTGTACACCAAACCCTCGATGCCCGCCTCTCCGTCTTCAATCGTACCCCCTGAGGGTATAGATCTTTCTTACCTGCAACGTGTATTCCGTGGAGCCCCTAACGCAGGGGAAGGGAGGACGGATGTAAGGCAGGGACAAGGGTGAGGAAGGAGGATGGCGTACGAGAAAGAGTGGCAAGAAGGGGGCTATAAGTAGAAAGCACAGGTCAGAACCTGACGGGCAGATCGGGCGGGTAGACCCTAACGGGCGGGTCGGGAAGGCGGGCCCAGGCGGCCAGGTCGACAAGGCGGGTTGCTGAAGTGCGCGTCCTGCATGAATCGCGAAGCAATCTCGAGCGATAGGGCGATCCCCAAATAAATCGTGAGGAAATCCAGAGCGAGAGCGTGACTCCTGCATGTAGACGGCGCGGCATTGGAATGAATTGTCAGGATGTCCCGTTCGAGAACACGTTCCTTGTGTAAAATGTGAGGACGTCCCTTGTTTCTGTTGTAAGCCGGAGGCCAACAACACAATTCTGAGACCCGAAGCTTCCTGATCAAAAACATGGTGCTAGCCCCTGAAAAAAACATTTCAATTTAAACAACAATATGCCACGGAAGGGGGGATCAACAAGAATTACTCTTCAGTAGTGAGAATTCAACAGCCATCATTTGAAGACTGTTCGCTCCAATCTGTTCGCGCGCCATTCAACACGTACATCCCACACACTCCGTGCCCGCCCTCTTCGTCTTTGATCGTGCCCCCTTGGGGGTATATCTTCCTTGCCTGCCACGTGCAGTTAGCGCAGCCACTAAAACCGGGGACAGGAGGACGGATGGAAGGGGGGGGGGAAGGGGGAGGGGAAATGATGGAGAACCAATGAGATTAGCAGGAAAGGGGCTAGGACCAGAAAGCACGTGGCAGAACCATACGGGCAGATCGGGAGGGTAGACCCTAACGGGCGGGTCGGAAGGCGGGCCCAGGTGGCGAGGTCGACCAGGCGGGTTGCTGAAGCGTGCGTCTTGCATGAAATCACGAGGAAGTCTCGAGCGATAGCGCGATTGCTAAGTACATCGTGAGAGAGGCCAGAGCGAGATCGCGATTCCTGAATGTCGAGGGCGGGGCGTCGGAATAAATTTCGAACTCCTACACGAGAGCGCGCTGTATACTTAGATTGTGAGGGCGTCCCGCACGAGAGCACCATTTTGGAACACATTGTGAGGAACTACGGGGCGGAGCC